CCACATAGATTTGGGTTGCTCCGAATCGGTAACAACCTAAAATGGGTGTAGCCAAACACAAAACAGCCCGGGCCCGACAGGAGCTTACGAAACGCACCCCTCTGCGGAGATCGTGCGTGTCGAAGCGCTCTCGCTGTGGCGCCGTGCGAATTTGTCTTGACCTTGGCGAACCCTCTGCGGAGATCGTGCGTGTCGAAGCGCTCTCGCTGTGGCGCCGTGCGAATTTGTCTTGACCTTGGCGAACCCTCTGCGGAGATCGTGCGTGTCGAAGCGCTCTCGCTGTGGCGCCGTGCGAATTTGTCTTGACCGGCGAACCCTCTGCGGAGATCGTGCGTGTCGAAGCGCTCTCGCTGTGGCGCCGTGCGAATTTGTCTTGACCTTGGCGAACCCTCTGCGGAGATCGTGCGTGTCGAAGCGCTCTCGCTGTGGCGCCGTGCGAATTTGTCTTGACCTTGGCGAACCCTCTGCGGAGATCCTGCGCGTCGAAGCGCTCTCGCTGTGGCGCCGTGCGAATTTGTCTTGGTCGCGGCGAGCCCTCTGCGGAGATCGTGCGTGTCGGATCGCTCTCGCTGTGGCGCCGTGCGCATCTGTCTTGAGCCCGATGAACCCTCTGCGGAGATCGTGCGTGTCGAAGCGCTCTCGCTGTGGCGCCGTGCGATTTTCTTGCTCGCGAAACGGCTTTTGGAAGTTGTCTCGTGGTGTGCGCGCCTGCTTTCGCAATCCCGCGGTCCCGGGTTCGATTCCCCCCTGGTCCGCGGCAGCTCCGGCTTGAAAATCGCAGCTTTTAAGTACAAACGTAGTACGCGGAGCGTGCTCCTGCAGCTCCGGCTGGAAAATCGCAACTTTTAAGTACAGACGTAGTATGCGGAGCGTGCTCCCGCAGCTCCGGCTGGAAAATCGCAACTTTTAAGTACAAACGTAGTACGCGGAGCACACTCCCGCAGCTCCGGCTGGAAAATCACAACTTTTAAGTACAAAAAATAGTACGCGAAGTACATTCCCACAGCTCCGGCAGCACTTGCTCAGAGCAACTTGCGCAGAGCAACTTGCGCAGAGTAACTTGCACAGAGCACTTGCACAAAGCACTTGCGGAGAGCAACTTGCACAGACCAACTTGCACAGAGCACATGCGCAAAGCGCTTGCACGGAGCAACTGGCGCAGAGCAACTTGCTCAGAGCACTTGTGCAGAGCAACTTGCATAGTGCGCTTGCGTGCAGCAGCTTGCAGAGAGGAACTTGCGCGCAGCAGCCTGGAACGATGCAGCTTGCGCAGACCACTTTCGTGAGAAATCGCGCGGCGCAGTTCGTGCAAAGCACATTGCGCCGAGCAGTCTGCGGGGATCGTGCGTGTCGGATCGCTCTCGCTGTGGCGCCGTGCGCATCTGTCTTGAGCCCGATGAACCCTCTGCGGAGATCGTGCGTGTCGAAGCGCTCTCGCTGTGGCGCCGTGCGATTTTCTTGCTCGCGAAACGGCTTTTGGAAGTTGTCTCGTGGTGTGCGCGCCTGCTTTCGCAATCCCGCGGTCCCGGGTTCGACTCCCCCCTGGTCCGCGGCAGCTCCGGCTTGAAAATCGCAGCCTTTAAGTACAAACGTAGTACGCGGAGCGTGCTCCTGCAGCTCCGGCTGGAAAATCGCAACTTTTAAGTACAGACGTAGTATGCGGAGCGTGCTCCCGCAGCTCCGGCTGGAAAATCGCAACTTTTAAGTACAAACGTAGTACGCGGAGCACACTCCCGCAGCTCCGGCTGGAAAATCACAACTTTTAAGTACAAAAAATAGTACGCGAAGTACATTCCCACAGCTCCGGCAGCACTTGCTCAGAGCAACTTGCGCAGAGCAACTTGCGCAGAGCAACTTGCACAGAGCACTTGCACAAAGCACTTGCGGAGAGCAACTTGCACAGACCAACTTGCACAGAGCACATGCGCAAAGCGCTTGCACGGAGCAACTGGCGCAGAGCAACTTGCTCAGAGCACTTGCGCAGAGCAACTTGCATAGAGCGCTTGCGTGCAGCAGCTTGCAGAGAGGAACTTGCGCGCAGCAGCCTGGAACGATGCAGCTTGCGCAGACCACTTTCGTGAGAAATCGCGCAGCGCAGTTCGTGCAAAGGACATTGCGCCGAGCAGACTCGCGCAGAGCCAACTTGCACAGAGCCAGTTGCGCAGAGCCACTCGCGAAAAGTAGCTTGCGTAGACCCAACTTTCACAGAGCCAAGCTGCGCAGAGCCATCTTGCACAGAGCTAAGTTGCGCGAGCGTGCTTTGCAGAAACTGTGGCCGTCGTGTAATAAGCTTTGCTATTGATTGCTCTTCCTTTTGCTTGTAATTCGTTTCGAGCTTTACGAGCTTTACTCTTCTTGTTTTAACGGATGTAAATATGTGGGATCGAGCACTGCCATGTTTCCTCTCGTAGGACGATGAGATGGAGCTCTCATGTGACCATACGCATTGAGCATCGCCGCGCGCGGACACGCTCGCCGCAGCGATGTAAAAAGGTGTCTCCGCGGCTGGATGAGCACCTGGGAAAAAATGCTTTCGGGCCAATCGTCCTCTAGTTTTTTTTTTTATCATTTTTTGGGCGGTGTCACTCAACTTCGAAAACGAAGAAGAAGGACACCGGGCCTTTTTTTTAGTCCAGCACCGAGACGCCCGTGCCGGAGAGCGTCACCAGCTGGTAGGCCACCAGGTGGATGAACAGGTCCGTCATCGTGCCGTCCAGGCCCTTGAAGGTGACCACACAAGGTCGCGCGCGAGCGGGTGCTGACACCACTCAGTGGCATCTTGGGCACGCGCTTGGTAGGAAAGCCGGCAATGTAGCTGTGGCGCAGGTAGCCCACGCGGCCGATGTCGATGTTGCGCGCCGTGTCGTCGTAGGTCCCCGCAAGGACCGAGAGGAGGTGGAAGTGCTCCGAGGCTCCCTTCATAGGATTGTGAGGGTACTGCAGGCTGCCCAGCTGCATCTGCGACTCCAGGAGGCTGTCCTCCTGGCTGGTGACTACCTCCATGCTTCTTTATATACACGCATTTTGAGTCGTACGGCGAAGGAAAACTATTACTCTAGCGCCTATATCAATATAGGCACTGGAGTAATAGCATTTTGCAGCCCAAAACCGTGCAAAAAAAACTATTACTCCAGGGTGTACATTTATGTACGGACTGGAGTAATAGCATTTTTTCAGCGCAAAACCGTGCAAAACGAGCTATTACTCCAGGGTCTATATTGACATAGGGCCTGGAGTAATAGCATTTTAACCGTGTAAAACGAGCTATTCTTCTAGGGTCTATATTGATATAGAGCCTGGAAGAATAGCATTTTGCTGTCGTTGTCTCGCCCAACTTGCCATTCTTTTTTTACGGGGCCAGGTTTTTTTGCTCGGCCGCGCGCATTCTCCCCGATCATACGTGCACGTATGGTCGGGGAGAATAGCCGGTTTCGCGCGGTTTTGCATAGTTTTTTGGCATGACATGATTTTGCTTGATTTTGGCATGGATTTGGCCAGTAGAACGTTTGATGCCTGCGTGGATTGAGGCGGCTGAGGGAGAGGGAGCTGAGGGGGGCCCTTTTAGGAACTTATAGGAACTTATAGGAACTTATGGGTGGGCTTCCTATGGCTTGGCATGGCATGTTGTGTTGACACGTGGGCCTGGTCGAAACATGTTCTGGTGCAGATCTTGGTGGCGAGCAATCAGATGACTTTGAAGGTTGAAGTGGAGAAGGGGTTCCATGTGAATAGCAACTGGTCATGGGTTAGTGGATCCCAAAAGAGGGGGATGTTTCCACAAGCAGTGCGCTGCGTCCAATTCACAAATTGAGATTGAGCATGCTGCGGGAGCCATTTTGGCAAGGACAAACCTTGAGGTGGGTAGGGGGCGAGGCTGTTTCTCGCGACTTGGAGGCTTGGAACACATGGGGGTTCGATGCCTTGGTCACAGAAAAAAACATGTGTGTGGTTGCGAGGCCTGAGAGCTTGGCGGCCACCATTGTTCAGGGTCAGGAGCCAAGTCCGGATGAGGATGGACGTGCTTGCAGTTGCGCGGATCTTAGGTCATAAAGCGTGCGCCAAGCAAGGAGCCCACAGATGCCGAGCCCAGACCAGGACGGTGGTGGGGATTTGTTGGGGCGGTGTGGGCATGACTTGTCTTGCAAGGAGACTGATGAGCAGACAAGCGGGGAGCTTTCCACCCAGTGCAGGCAGGGGCGGGTGGGGGGGGGGCTTCCGACAGCTCCGCTGCAACGGTCTCATCTCAGGTACGGCCACTAGAAGCAGCGCACCGACAGGTTCGGGGGCCAGGGCGGGAGGAGAGGGAGCGGAAGGGTGGCGTGTGGTTGTCTAACGTGAATCCCTCACGGGTCCTGCATGAATGAGCACCCACACCAGGAACCCCCTGAGGGCGCTGGCGCGAGCTGCTCGGGGCGGCAACCAGGCGCTTTTTTTTTTGATTTCCTGCAGCGTGAGTTGCGCACGGATCCTGAGTGTCACACGAGCCCAGCGTGAGTGCCACGTGAGCGCTACATGACCCCCTGCCAGCTGAGCCTTCTGTGAGCGCGCTCTCCGTGCCAGGAACCGTCGGACAGAGCTGGTGGGGGAGGGCGGTGCGATGAGGCAGGGATTCTTTTTTTTCGTGAGCTGTACATGAGTCCAGCATGAGCCCAACATGAGTGTTGCATGAGCCCAACATGAGTGCGGCATGAGCCTTGTGATCGCACTCTCCGTGTCAGGAACCGTCGGACAGAGCCGGCGGGCGAGGGCGCTGCGGCCAGGCAGGGATCCTTTTTTTCTTCGTGAGCTATGCGTGAGTCCAGCATGAGTGTTGCGTGAGCCCAACATGAGTGTTGCATGAGTCCACATCCCAGGACGCCGGTGGCCAGACGAGCAGAGATCGGCAGCCTAAGCCAAGGGCCAAGGGAAAGTCCAAAGCCAAGCCGGCCAAGCCTGTCCCCACGGATTCTTGTGTCTCCTTCAAGATTTCTGATTTCATCGACCCTGTGTTCGTTGCGGAGCTGGGCAAGATGCCCCTGTCATTGTACGCCGACACCCGCTTTGCTGACAACCGCAAGCATGTGCAGGGCTTTGCTTCTCTGCGGCAGGCCTGCTGTCAGGTGCTTGAGCGGAATGCTGCCTCCGGAGGCTCCGGCGTTGAATCATGGTACAAGGAGGACAATCTTCTGACGCTTGCGCAGAAGAAGGGGCGCGCCTGGTCAGGGATCAGTGCGATGACGGAGGACGAGGCGGACAGCCTTGGTTTCAAGTGCTCGTCAGGCTATGACGCCACCAGGTCCGCCTTCACATACAGCAAGGATGTGAAGGAGTTGCTTCGCGGTGGGCTGGAGAACGGCGACTTCATCCGCGAGTCAACGGGTCCTTCATGGACATGTTGCCAGGCATGCCCCGCAGTGTGGCAAAAAGCTTTATCAACAGGTGCATGGGGCTTGGAGAAAGGGGCATCCAGGAGTGGTGTGATGAGACTGGCGTGGCAACCCTCCCCGAGCCGCTGCGGATGTACTGGCAGGAGATCAAGGCGGGCATGGAGTTGGACGTTGAGAGATTCCCGGAGCTGGCAAGGAAGTTGGCCAGCCGGGAGGGGCAGGCGCTCAAAGACGCAGCGTGCTACGTCCTGAACAGCGAGTTCGAGCGCTACCACTTGGACTCGACCGTGCAGCGCATCAATCGCATCGCCAGAGTACGTTGCTACGAGCTTGACGGCCTGGTCATCGAGCGACATCCCACATCCACTTGGGAGCACATCGAGGAGGCCCTCGGCAACCGCTTTGCCTACAAGCCCTATCGCCCTCGGGCCGAGCTTCTGCAGACCCTGGCCCGCACGTGCCACGCATTGTGGCCGCCAGCTTTCATGTGGGAGGAGCAGGAGCAGTACGCTATCCAGTGTGCGCGGCGACTGAAGGATCCGGATCGCAGTCCGCCAGTGGTTTGGTTGGCGAGGACTCTCTCAACGCGACTGCTAGCCTGGCGTGCTGCTGAGAGACAAGTACAAGTGCCTTGTCTAAGCTTCGATGCTTGTTTTTTTCTTCTTGTTCCCACACATGACGCAACAGCTGGATTGGGAGGGAGAAAAGAGCCCCCCCCAGGGACTGCTCTCAAACATCTGTCTTTGCCGCAGTACCTCGCCGTGCGCTGGCAAAGCCTTGGATTGCTTCAAATCCAAGGCTCTCCCAAATGGCATGGTGTGGGAGTTGTCACATGGCCAGATCGATGACGAGCTTGAGTGCGACATGGTGCGGGCGCTGTGCAGCCTGACAGGGGTAGCGGTGCTGAGCGCCCCTGATGCGTTCGTGACCGCAGGTCTTTCCGGGCTATTCATGCGAAGGCCGATTCTTTATGTTTCTGGAGCCCGGATTGGGACTTGGATGAGCTTGCAAAGAGGCATGTCTTTGTGCTGTTGCTTTATGGTGAGGGAACGGGTAAGCAGTCGAGGCATCGCTATGGGCATCTGGTTTCCTCCCTCATCAGCTGCACGGGCAGGTCTCTTTCCAGGCCCTGGAGTGTCAGTACGTGGAGGCGGCGCCGACGAGTCACAGGCTCTGCATTATGCCTTGGGCTGGTGTGGCCTGGACTTGGATGAGCGTGGAAAAAATTGGTACAGCCATGTGGAGAGCAATTTCAATACGTGGTCACAGGGGACCTTGCAGCCATCACCTTCCTCTGTGAGGACGGTATCCTATCACGCCAGCTTGCCCTCGAGCACGTTGTCCGACACGTTCGTCTGCGTGTGTTGCAGCAGGCCGTCGGTGCCAGGGACGCGGTTGAGCAATCTCTGCTCCATGCCCTTCGGGACCTTTTTGCAGCGGTGCCGCTCCACGCGGTGCTCTACTTTTTGGAGTATGCTGCCCCGCAAATCGCGGTCTTGGGTGAGGAGGAGTGCAAGTTTGCCAAAAGTAGAGGCGTGGCTAAGGATCCGGACGGACGCAGGCTTCAGGTGACTATCCTACGTAAGGGCCCGCATGAGATGCACTGCGTGGAGTTAGACTTCTTCCATGGGATTCGGGAGACCGGCGATTTCCTGAATGTGGTTGTCACACCTCTGTGGTAGTATGCAGTCTGAAACAGTGGGTTTCGGACACCATAAGCCGCTCCTGTCCTTCTTGCTTTTGCTTACGGACACTATTGTGGGACGCAAGCCCCAGTCGGCCAGGCGGCGGGACAAATTGGTGGTCGGCGGCAGTCATCAGGGGCTTGGCGAGGATGAGCGGGAGTACTGCAAACATGTGCGGAAGTGCTCCTGTGAAGAAGTTAGTGACGGGCTGGTCCTGCATAACATTCGGGTGCTGGGTCACAGCCGTGCCCCAAGACAGTGGAAGTCATTGATGTCGGTGGGACTTGGCAGCCCGGATGCGGAAGTTTTTCCTGACAATTGCCTAGTGCTGCGTTGATTGCTCCTCTGCAGAAGTTGGTCCGTGAGCTGCCTCTTGCTGGTGTGGACGTAGGGGAGTATACGGAGTTGTGGCAGGCGATTTTGACCGCGGCGGCCAGCCCCGATCGGCATTTCCTTGGGGTGGTGATCTCTCTTCTTGCTGCTGCTCAAACAGGACGCACAGATGTATTTTTGTCGGGTGTTTTCGGTGCGGGCAAGACTGCCAGTTTGGCACTGGTGGTCGGGTGCCTTGCGGCTTTCTCCAAGGTCAAAATCTTGCTGGCGTCCAAGGAGAATGCTGCAATGAGGGCTATGCAGGATGCTCGACTCGCCGGCAGGGCAGAGGGTGGCGCGGTTTTGAGTTTAAGCGCAACGACCAAGCCGACACGGCTTTCGACCTCCCACCTGACGCAAGGTAGCAACGATGGGTGAAGCCCATTGTGATGTGCACTACTGGCGTTCTGCTCAACGAGATGAGGTTCATGCAGGAGGGCAACTCCCCGGTGTTGGAGGCGGAACTGGTTGTCATGGACAAGGCCCAGCAGTATGGCGCAATCTCGGAGGTGGTGCCTATGTCGGCTGCCCGCAAATGCTTGCGAGGATGGGCGGGCGACGCCGTGCAAACTGTGGGGGCATGGACCGCGCGGCGGCACGAGTGGCCAGAAGGAAAATGTTGGAGCGGGCCATGGGCCTCCGACGAAATTCGTGCTGGATGCATCCCTGGCAATTGACAAGCTTGCTCGGCTGGAGCCTGCGCAAAGAGCTGATGTGGAGAAAGTGATTGCCGCTGGGGATGTGCACGATTCGGCTGGTGGCTTTCGCACCCCTCTTTTCACCCTGGTTCACACGCTTGCGTTGCATGATGTCTGGACGGAGGTCAGCACAGCAGCGGAACAAGCAGGCCTGGAAGGCATGCATGCCGAAGCTGAGGAGGCTGAGAGGTCCGAAAAGGTGAGGACAGTTGGTAAACATCGACGAGCTTCAGTCGGCGCATCATGCTGCGCAGGTTCCTGGTCCAAAGCAGGAGCCGGGCACCAAGGGCGGAAAAGGAAAAGGGAAAAAGGGTGAGAAGGGCGGTAAGGGTGATAGTCCTTCCGACCAACGACGATAGCTCCGCCGCCCCAAAAGCAAAGGGCAGGGCTGGTGCTGGACCCACCCCGATAAAGGTTGATCCACCTAAGGTTCTCAGCTCCTAAGGAGACTAAGCAAGCTGACCAGAAGGTTGAAGTCAAGAAGGAGAAGCGGAGACGATGCTCCCGGCGATGGTCGGGCCTCGGCTGATAAGCAAAAGAGAGAAAGGAAATCCCGTTGAAATCCGGAGGTGCCTGCAAAGGAGTCGACGAAGCGGGAGGCATCGAAGAGACCCGATGATGTTGACAGCAGGCCAGGTGCGGCGGCCAGGGAGGCGAGTGGAGATGATCTTCACTCCGCGCTTGGCCGATCTTTGGTAAAGGACGCGGTAGCGCCCTTGACTGCTTCCAAGGCCATGGCAATGAAGCCCAAAGGGAGCTTGGCGGAGCGGGTCCGGTTGAAGGTCACTTCAGGACTTTGCCTGAGGGCCCGATGTTGGATGCGTTCTTGGCGATGTCCTCCGATAGGGTGCTCAACCGGCAGGTTAGGGGCTTCATCAAGAACGGCGAGGAAGGCTTCGCGCTGGAAACTCTCAACCAGATCCTGGCGAACTCTCGCGTGGAGCGGGCGCGTTGGGGGACTGATGTCTCCCGCACGCCTTCTCGGAGGTCCGTTAGGACTCTGGACGCCAGGGATTTTCGAGAATCGAGGAGGCGCTCGACCGCGGCGTGACGAAGATCGAGACCGAAGGAGGCTCGATGTTCGGGATGATCGAGAACGAGATCGAAGGCGAGATGATCGCAGGAGATCCGAGAGGGGTCGGGACAGGGACCGTGCGCGGGGCGGACGTGACCGGAGGAGACGCGACGATAGCCGATAGGCTAAGCCACGGGGGTTGCGGCCGATAGGCTTGCGCCCGTTCTGCAATGGTTGGCGCGGTGCGGAGGCGGTGATGCTCCTTCCGAACCGCTGAGGCGCGGAGATCATGTCTCTCTCGCACCGCTGCTCGGCTGCTGGTTGTGCACACCATGAAGTAGTGTGCGTGAGAGGGGATGCAAACTGGTGGAGGATTCTCCCAGGTTTGCGGAATTTGTGTATTTTTAATTGGGTACGCATGATTAGGAGTACTTCTTGCCGATAGGCGAGAGTACTGATGGACATACGTTATCCTTTGTTTCATGGCTTCTGATAAGAATTGAACTACTTGCATTGTTGATGCAAACAGTTGTGGCCTAGTGTCGTCATGTGGACTCTTCCACGAGGTATGTTGGACAGCGTTACCCCGATTAATTCGGGGTGGTGGCGGCGCGCAACTGCCTTTGTGGGTTTGCTCCACCGCTGACGGCGGTAGTGTCCAGCTGTTTGGAACCTACAAGAAAATAGAGGCCAAACAGCGCGAAGGCCCCAACATTTGCTGGAACTGGTCCATTCAGCGGGAAAAAAATTGACAAGGAAGGGGCTTCAGCCGGCGGCAGGCCCAACCTCAGAGCCACTGAAAGGTGGAAGGCAAGGTTTCAGCTTTGCTTGCACGACCGGCCCTCCCAGTTTTCAACGCCCAACATGTTGTCCATATTTTTGCAAGACCAGGTTTTGACCCTGGACGTTTCCCGACTTGTGTAAAGCTCAAATGCTCAAATTTGGCTTGTACCAGGGAAGCTAGTTTGTGGCTTTGACGGGGAAAGATTTTTTTAAAATACGTTTTGACTTGTGAGCTTTTACTGAAATTTGGGAGTACTTCTGTGTTTGTTGACAGTATGGACAAATGTGTGGAATATGTTGTTTTCCTGAACTTTCAGTACATAGGCAAGGACCCTTGTGCTTGTTCCAAACTTTTAAAAAATCAAGTTTTGATTCTTTTGATGAGCTTATCCGAACTTTGCACAAAAAAGGTTTTGACCCTTGAGGTTTTTCAGCTGACATTTTTGAAGAATCAGGTTTTCACTTTCTGAGCTTTTGAAAAATGAGGTTTTGACCCTTGACCTTTTGCTGAACATCCGAAACACCGGGTTTTGACCGTTGAGCTTTTGCCGAACTTTTGAACAATCCGGTTTGGACCCTTGAACATTTTCTGTACTTTGGAAAAATCAGGCTTTGGCCCTCGAACTTTTTAGCCTTTTATTTTTTGATTTCATTATAAGGCATCTTTACATCTTAAGCCATGAACGTAGAGCACGTCAAGAGTACGTGATGAGGCGGCTGCAAAGCAAACAGGAAAGGAACATGCCTTTTGCACTTACAGTTTTGCAAGCAATATGACAGTCAAGTGCCTTTACGTAGATGGTGTTTTCTTACATTTTTCACATCCTCCTTTCATTCTGGCGGCAAAGAATAAAAAATTGGGCCTTTGGGCGCCATGGGCTTGGGCAACCTACTGGCCTCTGGGAGCTTGGCATTCAGCGCCCTGGAGTACAACCGGGATGGCTTCGCGTCTGCGTGCGCCATGCGGCAGAACCAGACCCTCGGCTGGTTGGGTGTGGCCCATGGTTTGTGTGTTTGGTTTTATGGTAGCTTCAAAAGGGACCATCCTGACTGCAAACTGCAAAAGCATGTTTTGGCGGCGTGCTTGGTCCAATCAGAACAGCCACCGTGGTGTTTTGAACATGTGTTGGGTGGCGGGTCAGTGGAACGGAGGAATGCTGCGTGGGGGCAGGTGGAGGCTGTTTTGAAGATGGTGCCGTCTGTGTGGGGTGTAGTGGTGTGCAAGGTGTTTGTGTGTGTGTGCACAGGACGGGTGTCATGAAAGCAAGTGTTGAACGGTCAGGATGTACCAAGAGAAGAACTATCACATCAACCTCATCGCCGCGCTTCGCGAGGAGGTACGCGACTTTATGACCATTTTTGTGGGCAGCCACTTGTCTCTCATCGGCTCCCGCTTTTTGCCCATCCACGGGTGCTCGTGTTATTCCCGCGATTGCTTTGGAAAGAAAGTATTTGCCTTCACTGTTGCCATGTCTATTTTCGTTGGTTTGCTTGTTTTGTTGTGTTCATGAGGGGAGACAGCCACACATGGATGCGTTACATTCAATGTCCGTTGCACCATCTAAGAGGCTTGGGGGAGAGTGATGCTCCTGAATGAACGCGTTGCCATATTGCACGCTGCAATACGGCAGTGTGTTAGAGGGAAGTCTTGAACTTCTGTTGTTGAGAAAGAAACGGCCAACATACGTTTGGTTGAAACGACTCACTTAGTATGGGTGTAGTGGCAAACTAGACCTAGACTTGTTGCAAGGAGCAACATTTTTTTGGGTCCGGCTCATATGAATCTGGCTCCTTCATGGAGGGTGATCTTTGAAAGGCGGAGTTGGGCAACAATCAAGCTGGGGTCCAGTATGAGACGCAGAATCGGCATTCTGGACCTGGCCCCAAGGAATGAGCAATGACATGATCATGGACACACTTTTGTTCGGCATTGCGACTGGCTTCCTTTGCGAGGGAGAGCTGGCTGCAACTGCCCCTGACTTTATGGTCCACGCTTACTACACCTGCCTGGTGCTCTCGGTGGTTTATTTCGGGCTCTCCATGGTTTTCGCCTTCCTGGGTACTTCTTTGGCATATTCCGAGAGCCGGGTCTTTCTGCTGCGCGTGGTTCCGGACCCTCAAGACAAGTACGACTTCGACTACATGACCCAGCTGCACGAATTCGAGCGCGACCCCGAAGCCTTTCGATTTCCGGTGCTTGCCAGCGCCTTGGGCGCCTCTTCCGCACCGGTTGCCCATGGCCCTCCATGGAAAGATCAACATTTTGCTGGACTGCAGTCCCAATAGCCTCCAAAAGGGTCCAGCGATCCTTCAAAATGAAAGCTTGACCTTGTGGCCACTGCCACCTTTTTGCGCCCCGTGCAGTAGCCACAGCTGTGGCCTCAATCGCAACACGGGATCGAGCTGAACCTGTGATGTGATACAATATGCACTTCGCAAATCGTTTTTTCTTTGCTTCGCCGACCTCGGCACACTAATCTCCGAGGGACTTGTTTGCAGCATGTGTGGAGTGCAAACATGAGCACTCCCCTTTGCATAGGACACTTGCCACGGGCCCTCCTCCTTGGACGGACCACGTTCGCAGAAATCAGCTGGCCCGGAATTCATACCCCTTGAAGAAATCCAGTGAACTTCCCACATGACTTCGATGTGGATTCTGGACATGTCCGTCAGTACGCCGTTTCGGTCTTTTCGGTCTCTCTCATTCAAGGTTCCCGAGCATCGATTTCCAGTTTCTTTTCTCAAAACTGACCCTCCAGTGCTTCACGTGCAAGCATGGCTCGTGCCCAACCCTATGGGTGTGTCTGTGTTTAGTGGACTAAGGGTGCGAGTTTCCTCTCGGTTTCCCTTTAAGACTTAGTGCAGTGCTATTAGTGCTGTGGTTGAAGCCCCATGTTGACACACATGTGCCCAGGCCGGTTTTGACGGACCTGCAACCGAAAACCCGAAGAGAGACGCACCCGGAAGCTGTGAGCGCCTCAGGCCTTCCGATGGCCAAGGGCAAGAAGATCCCCATGGAGCAGCTGCCCAGGGGCTACGAGCGGAAATCCGCGGAGGAGCGGACCTACTTCGATGCTCGGGTGAAAAGAGATCAGCTTCTGAGTTTTTTTTTTTTTTTTTTTTTTTTTTTTTTTTTTTTTTTTTCCGGGTGTGTGTAAACCGGGTTTCGGGCTTGTCCCTCGCCACGATTTTCTTGATGGAGCCTTCTGGTGGGTATCCTGTTAGTGGGTGGGGGAGCTATTTCCGCAGGCAAGAGAAAAGAGGTGTGGAATGGGAGGGGCTGATTGGGAAGGGACCGCTGGTGACTTGATTTGTATCCGACCAGTATTGAGCCATGTCATTGGGGCGTGTTCCTTTTGGGTACTTTTTTTTTAATGATTTCAGGGAAATAAACAGGAAAACCACAAGTGTGGGTGCCCTCAATCGGGATAGAAGACTGAATATTGCAAGTTGTGGTTGAGTAACCCATTGCCATGTCATTCTCATAGGTGTGCAACTTCCAATCCGCGCCAAGCCCCTTCTTTTTTGGGGGAGTTTTCTACCCCTTGGGCAAAAAAGGGGTGTTGAGCGTCAGGAAATTCTCGGGGAGTACAACTCCTTGTGGGAGCCGTGCTCCTCTGCCTCCAACGACTGCATGGTGCACGGAATCTTCAGCCTGTGCCAGGTGAGCGAAGTCTTCAAAGCGTGGGGAATGCTTTGCCATGGTCAAAACTAATGGGATCCCGTCTTGGCCTTAGGTGAATTCACCACCCATTTTAGGTTCCCTATTTTAGTGGTTGGATTGGGATGCGCACTGGGGGTGCGATTTGGGTTTTGGCCCATGGCTTTGTGTGTGCGCTTGAAGCCGAATTCCTATCAACCTATCGCCATGCTCCTTTTTGCGGGTTCTTTCCTGGTGCTTGCGAGTGGAAACCGTGCACTTCTTTGAGCGCGAGCTTTCGTAGTGACCAGGGCCTGTCTTTCTTCATCCTTGGGCACCATTACGATCGCAGTCGGTGGGGCTCTGTGACTCTCTTCATCATGCTGGGGGTGACGGGGGTCGTTCTGGCAGACCGGCTCCACGCGAAACGCTTGACCAAGGACAGCTTGGTGTGTGCCACGTCTGCTTTTCCTTCAGTGGTGGTTCAGTTAATCCTTTTCAGCCATGGTAGGACAAGGCAGACAAGCTTGGGGCTGCCAGCTGCGTGATGCAATGGTTGCTGCGCACTCTCACCGCCTTTGCGCCGCTCGCTTTCCTCATCGGTGACTTCACCGCGCAGCATTCCCTGGTGGCAATAGCCTTCGTTTGCAACTCCGCCTTTCACCTGATCTTCGCACTAAAGGCATTCTGGGCGCGCCCGGCACCCGTGCCGCGTGAACAGAGCTGCTTGCAATCATTTTGAGCTGCTCTGTGTCTGCTAACAGCACAAAGAACTTCTTTCGAATCCTCAGGTTCTCGAGAGATTATGAGGTCAAACCATGACGTCCACTTCACTTCTCATGGACTGGAGGCTTACATCAGCCTGAATTGAGGTCTCAGGCGAGCCGGACGTTGGCAATCCATAGTGGGTCAAGCTGATTCCAGCTTTAACTTGCCTTCTGTTTCCCCTGCGGTAGCAACCCCAGCCGATTCCCAATTTGTCAACTTGGTGTCAAACTACATGTGGATCCCGGTTGCATTTGTGCCATCCATCTCCGTGAATCGGCAGCCCTGCACGTCTCCAAGGCTACGTGTGGGATCAGGAGGCCGGCAACCAGCGGCGTAGCCCTGAGCCCTTGCTGCAGGTGGGGATGGGCCGCAATCGGGCGATGGCTTCGCTTTTGGTTGGAGTTTGCCCAACATGGCAGGCCTGGAAGGTGCAGGTCTTGATTTGGGAGCGGCAGAACGTTTACTTTTCTTTTCAGCAAATGATATGTCACAACTTTTCCATTTGGGTTTCCCTCACCCCAAACAGGGTCCCGAAAATGCAGGCCCATAGAAGCACGCCCAGAACCCCCAGGTTCTAAAAGCATATTTTTGGCTCGTGAAAGGCAACCAGCACCGGTGACAAGAACAGCTCACCTCGCAGGAGCTGCTGAACGCCAGCCGCGCGAACAGTCAGAAGACCAGCCGACTGGCCCGTGGCCTCATCGCCGCCAGCGCCTGCGCGGAACCTGGCGTGTTCTTTCTTGGCGGGTTTGGCACGTACCGTTAGTACATATGCACCAATGTCAATCAGCAATGTCTGCTTTGTACAAGTCTTTACGCACTTCTGATCCTTCTAACCCTTGCAGGTTGAAGGTCTTGGGTGTTTGGTGGCAGGGTATGCTGGGACACTGTCCAGCATCACGTCATGTGTTCCTTGACCAATGTGACAGCGACATTGTGACGACACTTGCGTTTGTGTTGAAGCTTCTTGAGAGGGAGCATGCGCCAACTTGACATCGGCTTTGATTCGAGGAACTTGCGGGGGGTGAACCATTCATTTACCTTTGGGCGTGGGTTCAGCAGTGGACAGCAAAGTGAACGCATGTCTGCTGTGCTGAAACGTAGTCGTAAAAAGGGCCGGCAGTTGCAATTGTTAGACCTTCAACAATTGGGGAAGTCAGAGTTTGACCATGTCTGCCCGAGAAAGTGCGGATAGCTAGGCCATGTCTTCGCGACCTTGCCGTGGCTGAGCTTGGCGACTTGGTGCATGTCTGGACAGACTGTTACTACCGTGGAGGTAACGATGGCAGAGCGCGCGGTGCAGTGGCCCAGTCCCATTTTTGACGCACACGGCATGGCATGTGCAGGCGCGGGCTGCCGAAACGGACGGCGGTCAGTTGCTTCTTTGTGGTTCCTGGAGATATGGCTTGCATGAACAGCCCCGGGTTCTCTACTTAATGAGGGAACGCACAGCCGAATGAAGTTTCATCCTCCAGTGACCGAAATGCCCTGCTTCCTCCGTGTTCTTGCGGTCTGGTCCCCCAAGAAACGCACCAAGCCTCCTGTATCAGTCCCCGATGAGACAGTAGAGAGCGCAGGGGAATCGCAACTCGCCGGCTGTGCAGGCGGTCGTGTGTGGCTCGCCAACGAGTTTGGCCTCTTCGAGTTGTCCCAGGGGGAGTCTGGCGGAGAGCTGCGTCCGTGGGCCTGCCCTGTGCAAGAGGCGATTCAAGACGTAACGGTAGACTGCTCCTCTGGCACTTGCTGGCCCTTGGTGTTGGACAAGACCGGGCACCTGGTCAACTGCAGTGGCAATGCCACGGCTTCCGCCGTTGGGCACTCGTCCTCCGTGGCCATGGGCTTTGGGGGCCTGTATCTGCAGCAAGGGCCCAAGATCCTCCATCCTGCCAGCCACTTGGAGATGGCACATGCGCCGAACCTGCGCACTTTTGACGTCCTCAAAAACGAGGATGTGATCTTCCTTTTCCAGCCACACGCTGTAGAGATGCAAACCAACTCCTCGCACTCTTCCTGGAGCTTGAGGTCCACGCTCCGCACGGCGTGCGCCGTGGACAGATCCACAATCCTTGCTTTGCTGCAGGAGGATGAAGAACGTCTTCCGCAGCTTTCGCGTTTGCAGCTGCCGGATGGGGCTGGAACGGCATAGGGCAACTGCTTGGTACCGGTCCAGTGGAATCAATTGAAGGGGCCAGTTCAATCAATGCGAGCGCACACTTCTATTTGGTGACATTCTTGATTGGGCCATTCTTAGAGGCCCACTCAATGAGTACACGTACGTACCTACGTATGGCATATATGGGTATGTTTTGTGTTTTCCTTCGCAACTTGTGAGAGTTTCGCATGGGGTATGTGCAAGAACTCCTGTTGTAGACGCCCCTTAGCTCTCCACAGCGTCCAGAAAGGCTCGACCACTTTTTTTTTGCAAGCCGGCACTTGGCCTGTCCCCGCGCAGAAGATCTCTGAGAAGGAAGCCTGCGCTGCGGAGAGAAGTCTGGCAGATTCAACAGTACACTTTGCGCATCTCGCTGGTGTTTGCCTCTTCTGCGGTCCCAGTTGAACTGGATCGGTGCCCTTAGCGTGTGAATTTAGCCCCCGGCCGACAGCCACTTTTGGCGGCGTTGGGCGGCTGCGGGTGTTCCTCCTTTGGTGAGCTGAGCTGAGAAGACATCATCGGCGTGTCTTTTTGAAGGGGCACCCTTTTCAGGGGTTGGTGGGCCACGATCGCAACTTTGACTCAGCATGTGCGCTGAACAAGGAGGGACACTCAGCAAAAATCGATTGCATAATTTAGCTATGTACAGTGCATGGGCATGCTGCTTCTTCTTCCCCAGCGCTTGCCTGCTTCGGTGGATGCAAGGATTGCGGACTGCAACCTAGTTTGTGTTAATTGCTGTATTGCAATTCAGGCAAATGCTGTGTTGATTTCGCCATACCGTTTGCACCGTAATCCGCCAGTGTTTGTCTTGCGTGCTTCTTATAGGCGTGACACATGTTCGCAACACTTTGCAACCAGAAAGCCCACAATCAAGTGATTGTGGAGGGCGCAAAGTGTCGTCCTAAAGCATTCCATACAATGACTTGGCATCTGCCTTTGCCCTGGGGCTCTTCGGACCGGTGAGAAGGGGAGCAAGCAGGAACCAGCTTGTCAGATTGCGTTATGCCTGGAGTCCTGCAGTCTCGAAGTTTCGCTTTTGGTAGGTAACTTATGCAGCACTTGCTTGTTTTTCCAGGCCGTGTGCCGGAAGGAAAGCGTTACTCGGTTGAGTGGCGCTTTGCCTGAAATGGGCATGGGTCAAAACCCAAATCGTAGCCCCAGTGAACATCCCAACGCCCACTAAAATATTTCTAAAATGGGTGGTGAATTCACCTACCCCAAGATGGTACCATTGGTGTTGACCCACAGCCACATGTTCAACCTTGTTTGCCAGCTTGGATGCGCAGTCCCAAAAGCCCCCACTTTGGGCGGCCCAAGGGGCGGCTGCCGGTGTTCCCGCGACCGCGTCCCGGGCAGATTGCTCACGCAGGTTTCCAGGAGCTTAGTGCAGGGGTTTGTGGCATTGTTGCCAGTCGTTTGGGACAACTTGGGGTTCCTGAAAGCACACATCTTGGCAGTATTCAGCGCCACCTTTGCCCGCTGTTTCGAAGGGTTTAGCATGTACCGGTCTGTTTTCAATCCTGTAAGGAACCCTGTGGATACAACAATCAGCAATCTATACATCAGATTCGGAACTTGTCGCTGAAAGCAGGGGACACCCAGCTCAGATATCGATTGCAGTCGTTCTTGCCACGGCATGCCAACAGTTTTTCCCGGCATCGGTGTGCTTGTTATGGCGGATGCAAGGAAGGCGTGCTTGCAACTTGGCCTGTATGCTGTTATTCAGGCAGATGTCTTCGTTTTTTTGGATGGTGCAAATAATCCACTCAGGCTATGTTGTGTTTTGAGTCGGGTGAGGTTCGCACAGGCATGACACGAGTTCGCAATACCTTGCAACCAGAAAGCCCACAATCGAAGGATCGTGGAGGACGCAAAGTGTCGTCCTAAAGCATTGTTTCCTACAATGTTTTGGCATCAACTGCCTTTGCCTTGGTGGGGCTCTTTGTTGGTGTGACATATCGGCCGAGGTGAGCAGAAAAAGAGAGCCTGCCCATTGGTTGCAAGCTTGGATGCTGTCAGGAAACGGCTCGTGGGCAGTTTTGTTTCTCTCAATGGCTCTTCCAGCCAAAAGAGTCTTGGTGTTTGTCACCTTTTCTTGGATTCATACGGGTGTGTCTTTTTGAGGGTACCCAAAGTGACATCGTTTCTGATTTTGGTTTCCCTTTAAAACCACCAAACAAGGGAACCGGTTCCCCCTAGAAGAAGCGTCACAGCCGTAATCGAGTGAGACCTTCTTGCATGCGATTGACCGGTTTTCGGGAACGGCTTGAAGGAGTATTTGGTTGGGGGCTTGTTTTGCGTAAATGCAAAAACAAGGGTAACGATCAATTTCACTTTTGCACCATCGCAATAACTGGCATACTTTGGCCCAAGTGTGCAGAATACTCTTTGAGGTCTTAAGCAGTGGGTTTGAACTCCCATGCCAAGCATGTCATAATGACTCTTTGCTTTCGTAGGACGCTTTATGGCTCAAAAGTTGCTGCTTTTTGCATTGGAGCGTGGCCAGATTTAGCTTAGCAGCAGCGCAGCAGCATTTTGCCACAGTTGCTTTGCGACCTGGTTTTACTGGCAATTGTCAGGTCATGGCTGCCACGGATCCGGAAGTTCAGGCATGCTCGACTGCTCCAAGGCGCATCCGCTTGGCGTTTTGCGACGTCAGGTGCACGACGAAGGCGATCTTGTTGATGAAGAATTAGAGGATATTCCAGCTGCCGAGAAAGAGGCGCGAGTACAATTATGTCGGTTGACATGGCTTTTACTCAAACTCAACACTTTCCATTTGACATCACATCTTCCATCCATGTTTCACAGCAGTGAAATGCAATGAGTGACCGTCGTGTGGTTTTCAACTTGATATGAACGCATTGACCGATTAAGATCTTGCTCTTGTGCCAGGTCGACCCACTCCGGCATGCCCAGATCCGGAGAGAGGTGAACGGCAAAGTCTTTATCGGATTGGTGGAAGACATTGAACAAGGCTCAATCACAAAGGAGCGAGCCTCGGCAGCAAAGCTTGCCCTTTGTTCTTGAAGAATCAACAATCACAAGCGCTTCTGTGGCGCAATTTGCACATTTTCAGTTCGATGCATGGGCTACTTCATTCACATAGCCCTGGCTTCGCGAAACTAAGGACTGTACCGCATCAAGTACGAAGATGGAGATTTGGAATCTTGGCTGCGCGAAGATTGAGCCTGCCAGCGGCTCCCGGAGCCAAGGAGCACCTGACGCCGGAGCAGGTGAAGGAGATGAGAATCCAAGTGGAAGAGCAGGCCCTGCCGTCACGGCGAGTCTCGCGAGCCGTCGCCTGCGAAAACCGCTAGGATGATGATGTGGCAGTTGACGAGACGGAAGATGAGGTCAAGGCTGGTCGACAGGATAGGAATGCTGTAACCTTCCAATCAGTAAGTTTGATTGGCCTGAAACGCCAGCTTATTTCCGGTCATCTGCAAGAGACTGCTTGAAACTACGGCAGGCCAAGCCGGCGGCCAAGGCCAAAGCGAAGGCCAAGGCGAAAGCAAAGGCCATTGGTCAAAAGAAGGGGACCCCCAAACAAAAAGGAAACCAAGTGGGGATCCAAATGTACATGACCCACAAGTTGATTGTATAGTTTTGGTTGTTGGGTCATATATTGGTTAAGGAAACGGATGCCATGGTAGGGTACCGATTCCTATCTTCAGCAACGCCCATTTCTTTCACTTCCCGTTGCCTCGCGCAGGCCTCGCCGAAAGCCAAAGCGAAGGCGAAGGCGAAGGCCGGGCGAGGCTGTCTTAGGCTTGGGGTTTGCTAGGGGACGAAGCGAAAACTGTTCAATTCCTAGACGGGCATGTGGTTTGTGGAAGGGTTTCAACTGCTTTTTGGAGTTTGTTTTGTCAGAAGAAGAAACCCGTTTGGCCATATTGGAGGGGGGGGTCCGATTCTCAAAACAAAACATAGCCAGACCATGGCAAACCACAGGCAGCTGCGAAGCCAAAAGCGAAGGCCAAGGCGAAAGCCAAGGCCAAGGCGAAGGCCTGCGGTCACTTCGGACGCCTTGTTTGGGGGCTGGAACTCGGACCAAAACCCCACAATGTCGCCTTTCGGTGTTGATTTTCCGGCTTCCCTTGTTAAATATCCCGCAAAAAGGGTGTCCTCAAAAAATGACACCCCGAATTCCGACAGCTTCTCCAAGTACTCGCAAAGTGCTGTTCGCTGCATTTTGCCATTTTGTTCAGCTAGCTACTGGTAAGACGAGCATGCAATGGACTGGCGGCATGCTACCAAGTGGTCCGGGAGTCCAATTTGACTTCTCTCCAAGTGCAAGATCACCATCGCGACCTGGTGCGCGACCAAGACCCTCCGTCCACCAAGAGAGCCAACACATCTTGGAGCAGGAAAACAACCGCTTGAACGAAGAGATCCACACAAGGACTTGAAAGGGAAACAAGAAGGACCACTCACTTTGGGGGAGCTCCCTCACCGTGGACTTCTATTGTTTTGCTGGGGGTGGTCATGGTGAAACTCTGAAACATGGTTGGCCAGCGCCAGTCCATTTAAGAAACAAAACCAGCTTGGTTTCGCAGGGGCATGTTCGGTCTCGTCACCCATGCCCCATATCGACTTCGCAGCGCATTCTACATGAGCCACGTGCTCAAAACCCGGGGAGTGATGAAGGTTAGTAAGGGACGATCCCAACCAGAAGTAGCTGCGGATATCCGCCTTCTGCTTTACATAGTTCTGGGTAGACCATTTGTGTGCCGGGTTTTGATTGATGTTGACCCAGGATTAATAAACCCGTCCCATTATTAGGGGGGTGTTCCTCTCCAAAAGTGATCTGAATCCCCACTAAAAGGTACCGAACACCCGCTCAAGTGCACCCCGCTCGGCACTGCATACACGCATGCCAAATGGCAAGAACACGCGCTGAAGTGCACCCTCTCGGCCTCTGCACACACACGCATGCCATATGGTAAGAACACCCCTGAAGTGCACCCGCTCAGCGCTGCACGCATGCGTGCCGAATGGTAAGAACACCCGCTGAAGCGCACCCGCTCGGCACTGCGCACACGCATGCCACATGGTAAGAACACCTGCTGAAGTGCACCCGCTTTGCGCTGCACACACGCATGCCAAATGGTAAGAACACCCGCTGAGGTGCACCCGCTCAGCACCGCACACACACGCATGCCAAATGGTAAGAACACCCGCTGAAGTGCACCCGCTCAGCGCTGCACACACAGGCGCGCCAAATGGTAAGAACACCCGCTGAGGTGCATCCGCTCAGCACTGCGCACACGCATGCCAAATGGTAAGAACACCCGCTCAAATGCACCCGCTCAAGCGAAACAACAAACAACCCAGTCCACGAAGGTGGCGCATTTCAAGTTCCACTGGGATAGGACATGTCTCCAGCCGGTGCCCCGGCTTTTGTAGTTTAGACATCGTTTCACTGCCGTGTGTCCTGACTAGAACAACAAATGCGCGGCTGTGCTCTGAGATGAGTTAGTTCCGGGATGTTCACAGACCCACAAAGATGCACGTTTGTCAAACTGCCTGAGAATTCAAGCACAAAAACCGAAGACACGCAACAGAACGCGCGGGTGGGTATGTTCCCGGCGCGCACTAAAAGGGGAGACCCCCAATCAAAATCAACCAGGGGTTTATTAATCCGGGGTAAACATTATGACTCGCACGGCCCGGCAGGAGCCTGGAGATCAGCAAGCTGCAGCGGGAGGCGGCCGCGCTGCGCGACCAGATCCGTGAGGAGCAGGAGCGGCGGCGGAGCCGCCTCGGGGATTTGGAGGAGCAGCTGCGGGGCATCGAAGGCCAAGCGGTGCACGCGTCAGCGCGTAGCAAAACCACCCAAGACTCGGCCACCGGTTTTTTTCTTCCAAAATGGACCCACAGTTTGGTGGGCAGAAAGGGCGGCCAAGGGAATCCGACCATTTCAGGCCCTGTTGAACAACGCAATGGGTTTGTGGCTCAGGCGACTCAGACAAATGTGGGTAGGGGGCTCGTTTTGACAGACCGATCGTTTTTTGGTGTCCCCCACTTTCTGACACACGCCATTTATTGGGATCTGCTGGAAACATAAATCCTATTTTGGGGTACATTAAATATGGGGCTGAAGGTGAACATTTTTTTTTTGTGTACCCGATGTGGACCAACATACGGATGTGTGTCAAAGAGGGACCCCAAGCCCCAAACATTGCATTTCTTCTGGCTTCCCTGTAAACCCAACCAAGGTGAAAAGGGTACCACATGACCATATATATATATATATACACACTGTAATGTTATATACGTATATATATATATATATATATATATATATGTTCGCCATCTACCTGTGTTGTGGCAAGCCGGTGAACAACTGAGCTCACCATGATGTAGGCCCCCTTATTCAGGTTTTGGGCTAATTGAACATTTTGTCAGGTTTTTCAAATTTCTGCCGATGCTACACATGTAGTGATTATTATGATTTAAGGTAGCTATGCGTTTCCAGTTTTGAAGGCGTGGTCTTTTGGGCTTTCGAAACTCCATCGGCTTGTAAGCACTTCACGGAGTTGAATGGTCAGAAACAGGAGTTGGTTCACAGGACCCGTGATTTTTTTCCCGGGATTTGGTACCCTGAGGGCAGAATGGGCAGCTGCAATCGCAGCTTTCGCAACTGCAGCTTCATAGCACGTCCAGAAGCTCTGATGCTACAGCCGTGAAGCGCGAAGTGGTCGCCAAAACTATGGAGCTGGAGAAACTCCTCCGAGAGTTTCAGCAAAAGCAGTCCGACCTGTTCTCACGTGTGCAAGAGATTTCCAACGGACTCCTGCAGATGTCGCGACCTGAATCCAAAGCAACTCCGGCTGCAATTCCGTTCTCCCACGCCGAAGAGATCGGACAGAGGCAGCCTGAGGCTGGAAACTCACTCCCATCTCAGTATGCCTCCTTGGGCCCACTTGATGAGGAGACGCAGCAAGCGCTGAAGAGGCGTCTTCAATCTTTGGGAGATGTAGTGGTATTCAGCAGCGAGAAGTTTGATGCATGCTGTGCATCTGGGCACAGCATCCCTCCTGGAGCCATTCGAGTCAGACCTCGGCGATGCGACCATGTGTTCCTCGTAGAATGCTTGATGCCCTACTGGGTCGAAGGTCTGTGCCCAGTTTGCAGATGCAGCTTTGCGTACAGTCGAGCAGAGGGCAATGAGAGCGACAGATGCTCCTCTGTGTCCACAAGCGTCTCCCAGCGTGCCAAGCGTCTTTCACCCCACAGGCAGACCAATCGCGCACTGGGCGTTGAAGATGGTGTCAGGAGTCTTGGAAGTGCTGCCGTCGCCAGAGGTCCAAGAGTGCTGCGCATGCAGTCAGACCGGCAGCGGAGTTCCTCTTGCGGAGCGCGGAGCGACGCATCTGGGCTCGCGGAACGTGCGCTTCGTTCTCCTTCGCGCTCCGGAACCGGGGGGACCGGAATTTCAGGCTCTATGAGCAGGACGTCTTCGGGTCATCGAGATCGCCCGCTTTGAAGCGCTTCAAAGATGCTGAGGGCCTCACTTCCCACGAATCCCAAGCGCTCTGCGCGGCGGAAGAGGACCAGCTGGGAAGGTGCCAAAGATCCGCACGCAGCCGTGAGCACAACAGGCAGGGCAAGAGGCCATCGTGTGCGGCTAAGATCACCCAATGTGACCAGTAAATGAGACATGGACTTTCTGCCACAAAGCTTGGAGAGGCCGGCAAAAAAGGCTTCAATGTCATGTCCGACTTCGGTTGACGCTGATCATATCGGAGCGCCGTTGTCTTGCTTTGTGCTGTTGACCATGAGTTTTGAGGCCAAAGCAAAGGCTGTGGCATCTCTGCTGCAAGAAAGGTTTTCAATTGCCCGAGGATTGGGCGTTCCGTTCTTATCATAAATTGGCCTCGGGAGAGGCAAGGTGTCTACAATTATTATTGGTGATCATGGCGATCGCTGTTTGTTTGGGGCGGAGGCGGTGACGGGGGGGCCTGTCCCCCAATTTTCCCACCGGGAAGAAGCAGTGTGGGTGGCTCACCGACCTGAGATCAAGAAGCCAGCAAAGCGGCGGGGAGCCCGGCATGTGACCGATTCCTGGCATTGGATCACCAGGTTCCGAAGTCAAGAAGGTCCTGTGCAGGGTTCCACTTTTGGACTGCCTCAGGGTAGACTGCAACCCAGGGTGCTTCATTGCTCCCAAGGGGAACCTCTGGGTTGAAGTCTATCTTGCAGTAGTCAAAAAGTGGAACCCTGGTGGCGATGGGAAGAGCTTAGGCCTGGGCGACGGGTCTTTCCCTGAGGTAATTGGGGTCTCATCAGCGGCAGGTCCACGGGGAGCAGGCGGGAGTGGGGCCCCGGCTCTAGTGCGGGGGGGGGGGGGAAGTCCAGGAACAAGCCTAGGATAGGTCCTCACAAGGTCTGTTGGATCAATCAGAAAGCCCGGGAGTTGGAAATCGGGTGTTCCTGACAAGAAATGCCCCCCCCTCGCCGCATGTTTGAAATGACGGAAGGGTTGGTGCCTGTCAGGCGCATGGGCTGCTATTGGACGCTTCCGCTTTCAGGAGAAGACTCTGGCTATGCATAGATGGGTGTGGGTCAAAATTAAACCACCCGCAGGTTTTGGTCCATGTTTCCACTTACCAGGGTTCCATTTGGGGTGCCTATTTTTGACCCACAGCGAGATCACCCCATCATGGTGACCTCGGGAGGCTTTCATGCTACCAGTGATCGGCCTTTTTGACCTGCACAGGAGATTTACGGTTTAGGAGGTGGTGGGAGTGAGCGCATTCTGCAAGGCCCTGGCTGTGTTTGGTTTGAGCCAATTGTGACAGATCTTGAATCGCCAGCAGCAGAATGCATCGAGGCTTGCAACATCGGCCACGTTTAGCTTCAGGGGAACTGCTTGTGGAACACGAGAAGTTTCCTCTGCGGCTCTCAAGCACTGGAGATTGACATCAGATTGACCGGTCAAGTCAGAATCCTAAGCCCACAGGCCCTTGCGTATGTTGCACCGCTTCGTGCTCGCGGCCCGCTGTATGCTTAATTCTGCGGCATGAAACGTTCGCGGTTTCGGACCTCGGCAGCGGCAAAAGACAAGGTTGCAAGGCGCCAGCAAATGATTTCGCCACTTGTCCAATGGGTGGTGGACATGAATCCGCACCTAAATGATGTCCACCAAAGGGTCCGCTATTGCACTTCACACCCTTTTTGGGCGTCTTTGTTTCCGGGTGCCCTTTTCGGGGTTGCTTCAAGCACAAGCACAGGGAACTGTCCTTCTTGGGTATTGCCCCATTTGCAGACACACCCATTTGTGACCCCGTGGCTGCAAAGGTCTATTTGCGTGAGACGGGATGAGGCGAGCGCAGCGTATTAGACGATCGACCCTAAACCAATCCCAAACCCATACTACGTAAACCAAAACCAAGACCCTAAACCTAAACCCAGTACAGTCTAATATGCTGTGCCCGCCGATGATGATTGCTGGATGGGCTTCGACGGGTGACGAGATTCTCATGCTGAAGTCAGATGACTTGTGTGTCGGATCGCGCGACCAGAATTCCACGCTCGAACTTGCTCAAGTTTGCTTGCAATTTGTTTGGCAACACGAACTCGGACAGCCTTGAACATGTTGAGCCTTGTGGGGGTTTTGTCGCAGCCCGTTCCTTCTTCTACTGTCAGCTGTTTGGGGACTGCCTACGTGGCTGCCAGCTCTCTGGATCAACAGAATGGGGTAGAGGTCCCAGATTGGAATAGACCTGCAACCATTGGAAGTGGATCGCCTAGCCTAGACGAGCGCGATTAGGTTCTCAGACCAGGTCCAATTGTGCGTGATTTTCTGGGGATCGGGGCCGACTATTTGAGCGATGCTAGTGATCCGCAATACGGATGGCGATGCCTGCAGTCATGTATTTCCAGACAATGACCGGAAACACCGGCTCTCAGTAAATGCCACTTTTGAAAGAGGTAGCTGTTCAGTTTACCCCATGCTGAGCTCGGCGAGTACACACACACACAAACAGATGGTCACCGGCAGAGACGTGAAGACATGTTAAATTTGAGTGTGCCTACGATATCCTGCTGGGCAGGGCAGCATTTTGGCTCTCAGCCTGGCTTTGTCGTTTGTGAGGTCTCGTTGTGACGCCGCTTGCCTGTCATTGGTTGTACGGATCATCCGATTTTGCAGTAGATCCGCTCAGGTGCATCATGCGCGTGGCCCCAGCATGCCAGATGTTGGTATCCTCCCACCAGTTAACGCGGAAAGCCATTTTCCTTTTTGTGGGACTCCCTATCAGGTTCCATGTCATTTGGTGGGAGGGTAGCACGAAGTTCACTGAAGAACTTGCAGGTTGTTGCACCGGGGTTTCAGCGTTTCAGGCCTCCGACCATCACCCAGCACATGGACTACATCCAGGTCCTGCAAATCCCTTGCCTTTTGTGGTGGCCGCCCATTCCATTTTCTGCAAGAGCCTTGCTCTTGATCCGCTGCACCAAAGCCAAGGCATGCCTTTGTCAAGCAAGAGCATGGCTCAAAGTCCGAAGGGCTGTAGCACAAGATCAGATGTAACATGCGCGTACACGTAGCTCACTGCAAATCGGCTTGACCACTTTCTTCTTGAATGGAGGCCCAAAGGGTATTGTCTTTGGCCTGCTAGTTTGCAACGTTGCTAGTAGATAGTCAGTCCCTGCAAACAACCCTGGTGGCGAGCTCAGTTGATTTCCCACGGTAGTTCTGCACGGTTTGCGCCACTTGAACCGAGGTTTGCGAATTTCAATGACTAGATGACACTGTGCTTCCTCTTGCGGAGAGCTTAAAGGGAACTGTCCGATCCGTGGAAGGGGCGCCCTCGTTCCGTGCGTCAGGCTCATTGGGCAGTTCCTCCAGCTCCGGCCTCAGTGTCCATAGAAAAATGTCCGGGACATGGGGAGCTCTCTACCACAAAAGCCAACCAAATTTTGAGTCTGGTTGAACCCCCTGAATTGCCAGAAGGCCTAAAAGTCGAAAAGCCAGGCGGGGTTTGAGAAAGAAGCCTCGAGTGCCAAAAAGCACCCAAAAAGGAAAGAGCCCAAAAGAAAAGCCCAAAAGCCCACTTTCCCCGGGCTCAAGTGACCTTCGCACCGTAGGCCTGGGGCAATCTACGTGCGTTTGGGTTGCGCTCTGCCAGCCAAAGCCACTGCGGCACGGGGGCCTGGCCGGTTGGTTCCGGAAGCCACGGGAAGGGGTTTGGATTGGGTGCAGGTTTTGGAGTTGGTTCCTTGGACTGGTCGATCGTTTGGTTGCTTCGGTTTGAGTTTGCCTGAAAATGCAAGCCCTTTAACACGGGCGGCACCTTGGGCCCAGGGTGAACTTCCATTCGCCCTTTCGTGGCAACTGCAACGGAGATCTCTTTGCCATGCGATTCTTATTTGTGATAGATTTTCTGAGAGCTCTTTAGCCCGAGGGCAACAAGCAGCAGAATCTGGCTGCAGAACTGCTTGGGTGTTAAACCAGCATGCGGAGAATGACTTCAGTTTTCGCCTCGTGGTTTTGCAGGGTCCTCTATTTGAGATAGCTTCATCCTGCCAGACAGGGTCCACTATGTGGGACAAGGTCCACACTTTGAGACCCTCCCCAAGGGTTACGCAGGTTTTCGTCTTTGTTGTGCGATGTTGGTACATTTGTTTGACACCCACCAGGTTTCATGCTGCCGAATGGGCGATGAGTGAGGCGGAGCGAGCCTCGTTGCAGGGGCTTCAGCTTTTGTCTGCTCGGTTGAACCAGCCGGGACCTCGGAGCGACCTGAGTGCTGTCTGCTTGCCTTGATACTTGGGAGCCCAGAAAGCAGCCCGTATAACTGAGACCCCTACAATGTGTGTACGTATGTATGTACGTACGTACGCACGCACGCACGTATGTATGTATGTACGTACGTATGTATGTATGTATGCATGTATGTATGTATGTTGTTCATGTGTGTATGTATGTATGTATGTATGTATGTATGTATGTATGTATGTATGTATGTATGTATGTATGTATGTATGTATGTATGTATGTATGTATGTATGTAATGTATGTATGTATGTAATGTAATGTAATGTAATGTAATGTAATGTAATGTATTGTAATGTAATGTAATGTAATGTAATGTAATGTAATGTAATGTATGTATGTATGTATGTATGTATGTATGTATGTAATGTAATGTATGTATGTATTATGTATGTATGTATGTATGTATGTATGTATGTATGTATGTAATGTAATGTATGTGTATGTATGTATGTATGTATGTATGTATGTATGTATGTATGTATGTATGTATGTATGTATGTATGTATGTATGTATGTATGTATGTATGTATGTATGTATGTATGTATGTATGTATGTATGTATGTATGTATTAATGTATGTATGTATGTATGTATGTATGTATGTATGTATGTATGTATGTATGTATGTATGTATGTATGTATGTAATGCATGTATTTATGTATGTATGTATGTATGTATGTATGTATGTATGTATGTATGTATGTATGGTATGTATGGTATGTATGGTCTGTATGGTATGTATGTATGTATGTATGTATGTATGTATGTATGTATGGTATGTATGGTATGTA